ATAACGTACATAACTTTTAAGCCACCTAATATCTCTTGTAGATCGATCTCGGCGATTGCCTGATAAACATGGACTCGTATAACAACGATCCAAGTTCTAATATCATTATTTTAACGGGTCGGCGGTCCAAAAAAAAAACCATTTGAAGTCGGGATTAGTGTCAAAGTTAATCGCTAGATGTCGGGCTTGCTTCCCTCCTTACAACGGGGGCCTTTGTCACGCTGCTCGCTATCATTGTTACCCCTGTCATATTTTCCTTCTTGAAGGTTACAAATAGGATTATGCCGATTAGAGAGAGACACGTAATAAAAGCGGCGTTCATCCCGTCGAAAAAATTGGCAACTTTTTTTATATTGACGCGTTTCGTACCTGAGTTATTCGATGTAGCCATTTCGAATTTCGGCTCGATTTGTGCGCGGGGAACGCAACAAAGCGACGTAATTCTCAACATGTGTCGTGGACCGGTTCAAATTTCATAAAGGAAGGGCCCAAAAAATGAAGAATGCGACATCCCGTTGTACCGTTAATTAAAATCAAGTTTCGTTTAGTATTACACGATCCCAGGACTATGGGTGGATGTGAAAAATTGTCTCTGCTAGATGAGGAAAAGAAACGATTAGGTTACTTTTCCAATGGGCAGGTGGGATATTCGTCTCAGTAGGTTTGCTGCGGACTTAATTGGGTTTGTTAAGTTGAAATTGAAAGGAAGAAATTCAAGTGGTAGCTTTTCTTTTGTTTTTGATTTTTATCTGTGTTAAAATTTGTGGTACATTAAATTTAGCATTGAATCTCGGTATTTCCTGACAAGTCACATATTTCTAATAGATACCTATCGTCATTACTTCCTAAGTTTCTCAACATGCAAAGAAAGTGAACCTGGTAACAGTCTTGAGTGAAAGATTCGACGAAAATAAAGATTCTTCTATCTTTATATTTTATTTGTTTTATTTGGAGTTCGCTTATAAATACGTATTTAGTAGGAAATACAAAATAATAAAACAAAATACTAGCAGAAATGTGATTTTCAGATGCTTGATAAATTATTTCATGAACATTGAACAACTGCCGATAATGGAGTTGGGTTAATCATTTATCATGGTCCTTAATTATGCGGATATTGTACTAACCGTATTATTACCGATCATTGACCGTTTCCAACGTTGGATCCCTCTTTTTCCGGATTTTCTTCCATCACTGCCATATGAATGCTTGTTAATGTCAACTACTAGACAGTACTTAAAGTTAAAAGGTATAAAGTATAAAGGAAATTTACTTTTGTTAAGGAGCGAATTTTGATAATTATAAGTCAAATCAAGAACGAACCTTAACAATAACGCTTGGGTTCGTTCTTTGCCAGGGACATATTCTAATTATGGACATGCAAAATCCAATATTAATTAGATCACCCTGTACATTTTATTCAAAGATTTCGAACTTTGTATCAAACCTTAAGCTAACATGGATGTGCTCTGTGAAGGACCGTTACTGAGATAGAGTCCTCCAAATTCTTTTACTAAACTTCCTGTTTAAGATAATTGAATGAAACAACGACATGGATCGCAATAAGTTGTAGGTCTTAAAGGAATTTCAAATAATTTTGTCATAGTATTCAGCAATGTATACAAAGAATAATACTGATGCTTCCAAAACTGATGCAGTGACGCCTATTAAGTCGGAAGTATAGAGTAAAAAGTCTTCCGCCTAATATGAAAAATTGCGTCTACAAGAGCAGCAGAACAATTCAAACATGACGCAAATTCATGTGTAGTGTTGGTAAGTTATGCTATGCTATTGTCAGTTCTAAAGGGTGGATTTTGTCTTGTCCAGGAATTGATAGAGTTACGGTTTGGTGTGGATATTTGGAGTAGGGGAAGGATGCCTATATTGAACCGCCTCCTCAATTGGATCACCGCTATATTTCCTAAAATGTTGAAGCAAAAGTCGATTTGGCAACACTCTATTGTAGGTCTAGCTTATAACCACCAGTATGAGAAAAACCACGGTTTCGAATACATGCGTTTGAAAATTATAGTCAGTTTAGTGAATTGGTGTTAATTAATTTTTCAAATTGGTTTTTTGAGAGATTTCCAGTGAAAGAAATTTCAAAGAGAAAAGTTTTCCATGTATTGTTTTGGCACTGTTAAATTAAATCAAACCAAAACCATTATTTGAATTTGCTAGAATTTTCTACGTAGAAAATGTTGGTAGTCCCATTTGAGTTAAGCACTCTACTCCACTTATTTTTTGCAGAATGGTGCCTATTGAAAAGAAAAAGAAGTATGGTCAGTGTGGTCAAGCGGATATGGCTAAAGCATTAGAAACCTATAAAGAAAATAATAATGTACTTAGACCATAAAAATAATGGCATTCAGAAAAGTTTTGGGCGAGCTACAACTTTCTCTCCCGAATTGGAGGAGAAATTAGCAAAACATTTTTATCTTGAAAAAGTGTATTTTGGTGTGACCATAAAAAAATCGTAAAGATGCTTTTCAAATAGCTGATGAAAACAAGATTGGAAACAACTCTAATAAAGAGAAGGAAGAGAAGGGACAGGTTGGGAAAAGTGGCTTTACGGCTTTATGTGCAGGCATTCAAGCCCTACAACTAGAATCAATATCTCTCCTTGTGAAGGTTTTTATCGTTAAAATGTAGAAAGTTTCTTCGATCTCCATCGTCCGTCACAGATTACTAGATTACTAGATGTCGTGATTTTTAAGTCAGTCGAGCATTACTACAATGAAGCAAATGAGAAATCTCTGTCTTAGTCTTCCCGTGTCTCAATATCAAGTAGCTAAATTACTCGGAAAAGCATATCCTCCAGCGGCAGTGATGGCCACTACCATCATTGGATTCCCAAAAACGGAAGTCGATAGAAATGTATTCATTGAAGTCGATTTTACTCCTGCAGATGTTTTAACCGTAAAGAAAAGTAGACAAGCAAATGAAGATTTGCCAGCGTCTAAAAGCGACGATAACAATATCCCGTTAATTAAGTTTCTTAAGAACAAGATTTAAAAAGAAAACATGAAATTAGAACCAAAACCATCAACATCATCAACTTCGAACTCTGGATTCATCCTGAGCAGGCAGGCACTGACGTAGAAATACTGGCGTCAAAAAATGGGTTAGGTCGCCATTCACAACAAGAAGCAGTTTCAAAAACAGAAACATTATCGTCAAAATATGGATCCCACTCATCTTCAGATGTAGTTTCTCTCAACAGTATTGAAGAAATTCTAGGTTCTCACAAGTTGATTAGGATAAAATTAACAGACTCATACATAACTCATATAAAGAGGAGTTAGAAGCTAAACAAATACTTGGAAAACCGTTAAGCGCAAAGTTAATTTAGATTTGGGAGCAGCCGTGGAAGATATGTGATACAGTGCATTAAATGTCGTGAATGGGTAAATGAATGCTGTGCTAATTTGCAATCAAAAGAAAAATTATGTGTGATTTTTGTATGCTTAACTAAATACTTTTTAATTTTTGTATTTTTCTATAACAAAATACGTTTTTGAAATGTGTACACGATGAATTTTTCTTGGTTATTTGCTTATTTTGAGGAGTTCAATATAGGAGGACAGTAGTCCACTTTAAGATACCGATTTCCTATATTGTACCACTTGCAAAGGTTTTCAATTTTTAATGTCAGCTAAACAAGCATGATAATTACAGTGAATGTGTAATATATCAAGGTATATCAATATGGAAATAAAGTTTTATATTTATGTTCCGTTTACACCATGGAATTCCAAAACGTTAAATTGGTCCAGTATAAGCAACCTTCCCTACATATCTGAAGACGAAAAAGAGTGCGCGTCATTGTTGGTTACGTTGATCACTGAGTTACATTAAGGCACAAATCTACAGGTCTACAGGAACAATACTTTTTTTATAAAAATAAAATAATTTTACAGCCCTCCTAAATCCGATGTTCTTTTTGAAGCACCCCCTACTTTTATCTCCTCTGTGCCCAAACATTTCCAAATTCCTACTATGTGCATATGGATTAAGAAATTCCTAATCGAATTGGCACTGTTGAGAAGTTGATGGTCTCTGGTAAGATGGTGGGTTGATTTTAGAGCGCGCATCACCACGAGTCCAGCTCCAGCTCCAAAGCGCAGATACGGGCGTCCAAGGAAACCCATTAATCAATACCCACCGCTCGCGTACAACCATTTACATCGCGCGTATTTTTTAATCGGCTCCCAAATCGAAAATAACCCGACGATCGCGTCCAAATAAAGCTATAACACCGGTAAAAAACGACGGAACATCCAGCGTACATAAATCATAGGAGCCGGCGGCGTATCGTACGATTAAATTTTAAAGACGTATATTCAATCGGAGAGAGAAAAATTGCCCGGTTAAAAACGAACAGTCTCTCTATATAAAATCGGAGTTATCGAAACCAGACGTTTTGATTGATAAGCCGGGTTTAAATTGGCAGCAACCGGGATACTAAATAACCGGGGCAATATGTTTAACTCTCTCTATGGACGAGATTAATTTTATTGCGTATTTTAGATGTAAACGTGGTCGAACGGAGGAAGGTATTTACTGCCGAGACCGATTGGAACTGGTTGGCGACGCTCCTGCGAGCTCGGTCGTTAGGAGTCGCCTAGAGCCTGGCTGGGGTCCGTTGAGGTCCACATAAGCAATTTATGCATAAAAAAAGAAATTTAATGTTTTGTGTTTATTTTATGCTATACATCTTTAGTACAAACAAAACAACAAGTTTTAAGTAATTTATAACAACAGTCGGCCGCTTATTTGAAAGGAAGAACTGAGATTCAATAAAAATGTAGTATAAAAAAATTACATAATTTTTTTTTGTGTATATGTTATGAGAACAACAAAACTTTGATTTGCTTTTTTGTGTGTAAAGTGTGAAATTCGGTTCTCTGAAACGAGCTAGCAGTTGTCCAAGTAGTATAATGTGTGATATAGTTTATTTATTTAGCGTATTTCATAAATATACACAGTACATAATTAAGTCACAATTTAATATCTAAATTATAGATGTATTCAATCGATGCTGGAGTCGCGCACAGGAAGTCCTCCGGATCACCGTCGTATCTTCTTATAGGACATTCGGTTGTAATGTGCTGGATTGTTTGCCTGTCTGCACCACAGTCACATTCGGGACTTTGGGTTTGGTCCCATTTATACCGGAAGACTGCACAGTTTCCATGCCCAGTTCTTATTCTGTTTAGAGTGGACCAGACCTTCCGTGGTAGGTCAAATCCCGGAGGGGTAGTATTTATACCGGGCATGTCTCTGATAGCTGGGATGGCTTCATTCTGTATGTTGCTCCACTGATTGTTTAACTGGAAGTCGTTTGCCCTCAGTTCTTCGGCTGTTCTCGTTGGCGGGTTTCTCGAACCCAAGCGATTGCGGTTGGCATCAGCAATTTCATTCTGGATTGGCAAGTTAGGGTTGTTCTGTATCTTCTTAAAGGTTTTCAGTAAGGCATTTTGCCGTCGTAGTTCTGGAGGTGGTATAAAACTTAGTAGCGGAAGCCATTGGGTCGGAGTGGATTTTATTGTACCAGATATTAACCGCATTGTTGTGTTTAATTGTGTGTCAACAAGTCTTGTGTGAGCACTATTCAGCCACACTGGCGCACAGTATTCAGCAGTTGAGTAGACAAGCCCCAGGGCCGAGCATCGCAGTGTGGAAGCATTCGAACCCCATGTTGTTCCGCATAATTTGTGGATTATGTTGTTCCTAGTTCTTCATTTGGCTGCTGTATTTTGGAGGTGTTGTTTAAAAGACAGTGTTCTGTCTAGAGCCACTCCCAGATATTTTGGGGTGGTGTTGTGTGTTAGCAGGTGGTTGTCAGCATAGACTTGGAGCTGCCTGTGAGCCATTTTGGTGTTTAGGTGGAAACAGCATACCTCTGTCTTGTTCGGATTCGGCTTAAGTCGCCACGACCTAAAGAATTCCCCTAGTGTCGCAAGGTGCTCTGTGAGTACGCGCTCGGTAGTTTTCATTGACTTGTCCCTGGTTGCAATTGCCCAATCATCCGCATACCCGAATTTTTGACTTTGGGTAGGTGGCATATCTGATATGTACAGGTTAAATAAAGTTGGGGCGAGTACAGATCCTTGTGGAAGTCCGTTGTTTAGGGTCCTATTAGAGCTTTTTGCACTTCCCATGGAGACCGCGAAGCATCTACTACTAAGCATGTTGTTCATTAGTCGATATATTGTTTTGCATGGGATTACTTTTAGCAATTTGAAGAGCAGACCATCCTTCCAGACCGTGTCGTATGCTGCCGTCAAGTCTATAAATGCCACTGAGGTCTTCATTTTCCTTTGGTAGCCACCTTCTATGTAGCTAAGCTAAGAGCTAAAACTTGGTCTGTTGTTCTGCGCCCTGGTCGAAATCCCGCCTGCTCTATTGAGATGTGGCAGGACAGTACTGGGTTGATTCTATTAAGAACAAGTCGTTCAAGAAGTTTATATATTGCATTCAGCAGTGCAATGGGGCGGTAGCTTTCTGGCTTGTCGGCAGCTTTTCCAGGCTTTAGGATTGCGATTATGTTGGTTTGTTTCAGCTTTTTTGGGATTTGTCCTGATTGTAATATACTGGTGTAAAACAACCATGTTCTTGCTCACTTTCCACAGTGTATCAAAAACTCTGGGTGGACGCCATCCAGTCCAGGTGCTTTGCCGCTCTTTGTGTCTTTGATTGCTGTGTTCACCTCTTCTATAGTAAAGGGGCAGGAGAATGTTGATTCTTCCGGGCTGGTCAGTTTTAGGTGCTTCAGCTGCTTCTTAATGTTAGTCGTGAATTGCTTGATGCTTTTCCCCCTTGACTATGTGGGAGGCGACTTTATTTGGGTGGATATCAGTGTTACGGCGGGCAGTTGGGCCGTCATCTCCTAGTTTTCTTAAAAGAGACCACGCTTTGCGGCTCGATTTTTTGAAGTCCAGTGACTCGACTGTGCTTGTCCATTTATCCCTTCTAGCTTTGTCCAGGCTGTGGAGGAGTTCATCTGCTATCTCACCGTCGCCGCTGTCAAGGAATTGTTGGTAGAGACGGTCGCTATTTTCGTTCCAACCAGGAACGTACTCTTTGCGATAGCCCCTTGGGACATGTTTCTTAGCAGAAGAGATGACGGCACCAATGAACCTATCGTAATTTTTGTGCGTCGGCGGAATCCAGGGGAGGCACTTGTCAAGCTCAATGGCAAAGGAGGTCCAGTTAGCTCTGCCAAAATTCCAGCGTGGTCGAGGGACAGATGTGATTAGTGGAACTTGGATACCTATTTCGTAAATAATGGGTCTGTGCTGGCTATGAGGGAAGTTGTCGAGCACTTTTCTTCTAGTTGGTACAGGTTTATGGTACTGGTCTCTTGTCACAAAGCACAAATCAGGGTTGTATTCCTGCTTCCACGCAGCGGACCTGTATGTGCCCTTGGCTTTAGCATCGAAAACGTGAAAAAGTTGGTTTCTCTCTGCCCAAACCACCAGAGTATCTCCATTTTCGTCGTTTTTGCTATATTTCCATTCCTGGTGGTGGCTATTAAAGTCTCCTAGGTAGACAGCTGGGTGTGGGCGCAAGTCTGTAACCTGTGGTGGCCAAAGCATTTTTGGAGGCTTGTAAATGTTTGTTATATGTATATCTCCAATCTTTGTTACAACGGAGTGAATGTTGTTCATCTGCAGCATGAGTTTCCTGAATGACTACCAGGTCGACATCGTTCGAGGTTAACAATTTAGATAGAATTTCACTCTTTGATCGGCTAATGCCGTCTATGTTTATTTGGCAAATTCGGACAATAGGCCCGAGAGTTCTAGTCATTGGGCCCTTAAAAGAGCCTGTGGTTTGCTGATGTGCGCCTCTCATTGGGGAAAGAGGTTTTTGTGTATAGGCCAGGAGATCTGAGAGATAGTTTGATCGCCTGTTCGCTCTAGCTCATTTAGCGTTACCCAGGGTGCACGTGTGGTATTCTACCACGGACGCGAGCTAGCTTGCACCCCTGTGATATAGTAATTGGAAGTCAGTAAACGTAGGTTTTAACTTTTTGTAACTCTTCCCTGGAAATCTTGCAAATCCAAAAATTGCCTGGGGTAGATTCAACAAGGATAAGCTTACCTCATTACGTATAGTTTGTACATCCAGTAAAAGATGTGGCAACCGACCCAAACTTGTACATGGTATGTCATTTTATTTTGAGAGCCACATACAGGGTTAATTTTGAAAGATAGGAAAAAAGTTTGAAAATTTTTGCTCTATTGTCTTATGAAAATGTCATAAAAAACAAACGACGATCGCAAGCTGTCAAAATGGCAGCAACATCATTTTTTTTTTAAATGAAATGCCTTATATAGTATTAACCTAAATCGTAGATCTTTTCTTTCCGATTTCGAAAACATATAGTTTATTGACATTTTATTTAGCCGTTTTTGAGATATTTTAGTTTCAACAATAATTATCATTCGATTTGTAGATAATGGCCATATTGTTTAAAAATGGTCAAGTCTGCCTTGATAGCAGCCGTATTATCTATATTTGCAACTAAACAAAAATTAAGTTAAATAACTTAATATATTTCAAATGGGTTATACTGAGGAAAGACGCCAATAATAAAATTACATTAGTCAAACATTAAAAATATCAATAATTAATGTTAAACATTTTCCATAGAACCTCCATTATTTTCTATACATCGGACAATATTTTCTTTCAATTTCCTATTAATACACGAGGTCATGAAATCAGGATTTTCTCTATTTAGATCTTGTAAAACGATATCATTCTCTTATCACTTGTAAACTTTCAGGCCTATTATAATAAATTTTATTTTTTAAGTCTCCCCACAAAAACATGTCACAAGGATTCAGGTCGGCGCTTTTGACAAGCGATTTGATAGTTTCTTGCCTACCTATCCAAGGTCTATATTTATTATTTAGATAATCGGTAAAGGTTGGACATTATGTGCAGGTGCGCCATCTTGATGGCAAATTAATTTCACTAACTGATCTGACCACCATATTGTCCAACATACCACACCATACATTAACTGACGTCCGTCCTTGTATTTTCACTGCCTGCATTTTGTGTGGATTATTGGTGGAGCAAAAATGCTTATTCTTCCTATAATCGAAGCCTCATCCGTAAATATTATTTTGTTTAGAAAATTTCCATCTTCTTGAGAGCGTCTATACATTTCGACGCAAAATTTGAGCTTCTGCCTTTTATGTTCATCGGTTAAATTTTGCACTGGAAGGAACTTATACGGGTAAAACTTATCATATTTTAGCGTTTGTTTTACTATAGAACTCTCCGGATAATTTTTTTTAGTAGTAAAATGATATATTGAGGTCTTCATTAAAAATTCTTTCCATTGTCCTGGTCTTCCGTCTGACACTATTTCGGACCTCAAATTGTTTAATTACATTTTTAATTGTATTTATTGAAGGAACTCTTCTACCCGGATATATTTTCTTTTATAATTTTATTATTTGTCATTTTTCTTCCTCTTCCTATTTTACTTACGCTGGAGATCTTTAGTTTTGATTAGTGGCCAAAAGTGGAACATTGTTAAAACAATAGCAAACATAGATAATATGGTTGCTATTAAGACAGACTTGATCATTTTTACACAGTATGGCAATTGACCAGAAACCGAACGATAATTATTTTTAAACTGAAATATCTCGAAAACAGCTAAATGAAATGTAGCTAAACTATATCTATTTCATCTACGATTCAAGCTACCAATATATAGGGAATTTCATTTAACAAATATAATGTTGTTGTCATTTTGACAACTTGAAATAGTCGTTTGTTTTTTTCTGACATTTACATAAGATAATAGAGCAAAAATCTTCAAAGTTTTGTTTTACACTTTTTTCCTGTCTTTCAAAATTAACCCTGTTGGTGGTTGTCAAAATATAATGAATTACCCAGTAGCTATCATATCCTATATGCCATAAGTCTGGTCCTTTAATTCGCTTGTGGGAAGAAATTTCTAGTAATTGCAGCACTATTTAAACTGACATTACTTGCTGAAATATCAGATTTCATAGTCCGGAAAAACTAGAGGTGACTTGCTTTTAAGTGCTATGTTGCTCCAGGCTATAACGTAGACTCACATTCCATGCAAAATTGAGGTCAAAGGCTCTTCTCTGACATCTTCATCCTACAAACAATAATGTGATTGAGAACTACTCCATTCCACTCCTGATTCCAGGACAGGTTCATCTGATCCCATTTACTTCGAAATGCACTAAATTGACGCTACAAAGCATGTTTTCTTACAAAGGATATACTACCCTATCGGAAATAAAACTGAATGGTTCTGTTTGTTCTGTTTGTTTTTGTGAAATCTAAAAAAGGTTCAAAAAGTATCGTTTTTTAGGCAATAAAACTGAATGGTTTTGTTTGTTCTGTTTGTTTTTGTAAAATCTAAAAAAGGTTCTCGTTGTATTAATAACAACAATAATAAATGAACCATTATTAACCTAGAAAAAATAGTTATGGGCGTTCTACAAGAACACATCTACGCAAATAACATTTCCACAATTAATACTACTATACAAATATAAAAAGGCGTATATTATGATAAAATACATACTGCTATAAGCTTGCGGTAGTTAGCAGAGTACAAAGTCGATTAACATTCCCAGCTAATAACTAGAAAAACGTTTTTTGTTCAAAGAAACTGCCACAAGCTCCTGAAATACTATTTAAAAAACTTTTGGACTCCTAGCGCCAATCATCTTGTTAGCTTCTTCAGAGCTTGACTGAAACTGGCTCGCACTCTAGGCTGGGCTGTACCTGCTTATATACTGTTTGAGGGGGTTGGAGCTAAAGGAGGAGCATGAACAATGTCTTGAATCACTAATTCTGAAAGGTGAATAAGTCGCGGTAAAACATTGTTTGATTGTTTACAGATTTCTATGGATTCTCGGATTTTTCTATGGTAGAACAGTTGACTACAGGCAAGAAATTTAGTGCTAATTCCTCTATAAAGATCATATTTCAGGTATAGAGTAGAATGCGAGCCAGTTTGAGCCCTGAAGAACCCAATAGGATTATTGGCGAAACGTACACGAAGAATATTTTTTTAAAATCTATTATTACTACAAAGTTATTATAGAATAATAACTTTGTCCATTAAATATGACGTTTAAAAATATTGTAAAAGAATTGACTTTTATAAGATATGAATGTCAGGCACAAGTTTTGGAGCTTCAGTACAATTATGATTTAGACATAATATTTTTAAATAATAAATCATCTTGACCTAATTTAAAAGTTATGATATCAAGTATCAACTACGTTTTCTAGACATAACAAAATGGCGACGAATGCTTTTTTGTCTCCAATGTGATATTGTCTGGGTTAGGATTAATGCAAAATGATCGGCAAGGACTATTTTACATTGGTCATCAAATCAAATCATAAAATGTTTCTTTTATTATTTACTTGTATATAATTTGGACCGAAAATTGTGTTCGAAAAAAAGATTGAAAACAACTCTGGCTTGAAGCCATTACGAAGGAGACATCGGCAACGGAAGAGACAACGTAAATAACGCAACCAAAAATTAGTTAAATTTTCCGCTTTATCTTGGGTCAAACTAAAACCACTTGCGGAGCATAAAAACCAATTTTAATAACCCCGTAAAGAACTCCTAACAATAAAGAAACGATTCTTCGGAGAGGTCGCTCTTGGGCGAAATGTCAGCAGTTATTTTGGTGTCCTACATTGAATTTTAATAACTCAGTATGTTGTCATATACATACATACATATAGATTGTAAACAATGGGCACACATTGAGCTTTCCTCCATAAATATAATTTACTGCATGTTATTAGTTCAAACTTATTTGAAATAGCTCTCAACAATGTGAGACGTGACAGATGTTTCTTTTCCGTTGAACTATGTTCCCCACAATGCAGGATGACGTTTGCTTCCGTAGGCAACCAAATTCTTCTTCTTTTCTTCAAATAAGGTTAAATATTCTCTCTATCTTAACCTCCTTAACCGACCGGTTACGCAATGTCGAGTCCGAAATATAAATTCCACCGGGCGTTGCGTAAATCAATCCCGCCGCCCCAAGACACAAACAAACCCGCCGCGGTCTCCACTTTCATTTATTCAACCATAAATCGTTTATCCTTCAGGTGCTCTACGGATTTCTGAGCGCAAGGACTCGCAGGATTTACATGAAAGTGCGTGCGATGTCGCAGTCCTGCTTGAATTTACGACCGCACTCTCGCAGGAGTCGTTCGGTCCCGTACCTTATACTTAGGCTTTGCAGGGATGGCCTTCCGATATTAATATTCGTATATACTGTGTCCATTATTCCAGAATGAATTGTTCTTGGAAATGACGATATTACGAGATTAAATGCTTTCAGTGAAGTAGTCGTCAACGAATCGTTATCATTTCGAAAAAAAAAATACTTAACTATAATTTAATAATTTATTTATTATCAAGGTCAAGCAGATTTACAAATGAAGTTACAGTAAATGAAAAAAGAATAAGCTATGGAATTAACAGAATGAAATACTACCATTCCAAGATAAGCTAATGAAGCATGCTCACGATGTATGCGATCATGTGAAAAATATAAAGTTTTCATAGAGTCGACTATAGCAAAATTCCCTTTAGTTTCAAAAATTCTAGCATCCGGACGATTTACTATAGAATCAGCTCAGTCCAGTGGACTCTTATTTATGATGAATACAGCTTCGGTCTTGCGGAATTTCATTACTTTTCACTTTCACATGTCGAGATCTGCCAAGATCGTGCTCTAGTGTTAGATAATCATCAAAAGTGACGATTTTCTTGAATAAATTTTAGTTTGCAGCAAAGAGAAGAAATGAGGAACGCAAGATACATCAATTTTTGTCGAAAAATAGGTTGCAAAACAAGGGAAACAAGTGCGGCCTTGAGTCACACTGGATGAGACAAAGACTTGAGAAGAAGTAAAGGTGTTAACATGCACAGTCTGTATCCTTTTCATATGCTTTTAATCCAATAGTGTTGGAACTTGACCGTCAGTGACTAGTCAGTTGACTAGTCAAAAAATGATTTAAATAGCATCTTGCAATTGTAGAGTGTTATCTATCATCATTTTATAAT